ACAGATCATCCGCATACTGTAAGATTTTGATATCGTTTGATTTTATTATTTTGATCAAATCGGAGGTATAAATGTTAAAGAGTAGTGGGCTAAGTATTGACCCTTGGAGAATACCCGTATTTGTTGTTCTTGGCCCTATAATTCCTTCCTTAGTTTTGATATAAATTCTTTTTTGTGAAATAAGATTCATAACGCAATTAATTATAAGTTTTGGAATCTTAAACTTTCGCATTTTATTTTGTAGAATTTCCTGGTTTACGTTATCGTATGCTTTTTCGATATCTACTGCAATAAATAGGAGGTAGTTATTATTGGAATTTGAGATATGAATATCGTTTGAGATAATGCTTATAACATCCATAGTGCTTTTACCTTTTCTAAATCCAATTTGTAATGGACTTAATAGATTTTGGTTTTCGATAAACCATTCCAGTCTTGTTTTAATTATTTTCTCAAATGATTTTGCCACGCATGACGTTAATGCTATCGGCCTATATGAATTGACGTCAAATGGAGATTTATTGGGCTTACATAATGGTAACAAACAAACATTTCTCCAATCTTCGGGAATCATATTATTTTTAATTATCTCGTTAAACAGATTTACAATGATTTTTTTAAATTCCCTAGGGGATTTAGAAATCATAGAGTAATGGATGTTATCCATTCCTGGCGCAGAATCTTTTTTATTTCTCAAAACATTATCAAGTTCTTCGGTATTTATTGGACAATTTATTGCTTCCTCGTTAATATTTCGATTTCGAAGTCTATCATTCTTGTAGTGACGGATGCAACTTCTAACATAATCTGGCGTATAGTTTTTCAAAATATTATATCCAAAATCCTGCGATATTTGATTATAAGAATTTACTTTAGATTTACTGTTTGAGAATATATTGATTTTTTTCCATAGTTGTGTGATAGGCATGGTATTATTCAAGGAGTTAGTAAAGTCTATCCATTTTCTTTTCTTTTTGTTGCGAAGCATTATTTTTATCTCTGCATTAATTTTTTGATAATTAATATAGTTGTTATAGTTGAAATTATTTAACATTTTTTTATATGCTATTTTTCTTTTGGATATGATTTCCATGCACTCTTCATCCCACCATGGAGTAGGTCTAAAAGTCCTAATGTAATTCTGTTTATTTTGTTTTATACTACTTATTGCTGCTTTTTCTATTATGTTTGTAATAGATTTATATTTTACTTGGATGCTTTCTGTGTGATTAAAGGTTGTTGTCATTTTGTCAATATTTTCTTCAAATTTTGTCCAATTTGCTTTCTTAATATTCCATCGTTTATTTATATTAATGTGTATCATTGTTTTTATATACACATTCGCCGTTATAATTATTGGGAGATGGTCTGATCCAATACTCTCATTAACTATATTCCAATCCAACAAACTAATTAAATTGTTGGAACAAAATGATAAGTCTATTGGTGAGCTTCTTTTGTATTTTGATTGAATTGTTGTTGTTCTTCCATCATTCAGTATACAAAAAGAATAATCTTCTATTAACTCATATATTGTAGCACCCCTTTTGTCTATATAATTGCTGCCCCACGCAAAGTGGTGGCTATTGAAATCACCCGAAATCAAAATTCTTGCTCTTTGACATTGTTCTATTAGATTTTTAAAATCCGTCATATCTATACTTGTATTAGGAGAGTAATATACGGACATTATATAAAATGGTGTATGGGTTTTAATCAAAACTGCACAGAGTTGTATATTATCGTTATCATTAGAAAAAATGACTTCTTCGCAAGCAATTTCATTTTTTACTAAAATAGCTACCCCGCCATAACCATCATCTCTGTCATCACGAAATATTTTATACCCAGAGAAGTTATAATTCCTATCTGGTTTTAGCCACGTTTCTTGTAGTGCCGCTATGTGGATTTGGTTTTGGAACATAAAGTGTTGAATACTTTCCCTATTTGATACTAGTGATCTGCAATTCAGTTGTAAAATTTTTAATTGATTCATTTATATTTTTATTTTTATTATTTATTTGTTTTTGTTTTTTTTAATCAACTATAATTATTGTCACTAATATCTTTTTTCTCATTTTCTTTAGAACCAACTCCTATTGTGTTTTCTACTTGAGAACTTACTATACCCAAACTTTCGATTATCATTTCTAATCTAATTTTTATGTTCGACATATTAATTTCCTTGCTTATATCTATACCATATCTTTTGTCTTCTAGTTTTTTAATTATGTTTTTAATGTCGCTTCTCAATTGAGTCCTTCGCGCTGCTGAAATTTCTTTATCCTCATTGCTTTGTGACCTTTTGTGAGACTTAATCACGTCAGTTCTGTCTACCCTACGTTCACCTCTTCGATACTCATAATTTGCTTTATAATAATTTCTTCTATCATTTCTGCTTGAGATATTTGTTGGTTTATTCATTCTCATTAAGTTATCTGTGTCATAAACCTGTTCTTTTTCTATTAGATTTGCTAATATTTCATATTTATTAGCATTTGGTTTATCTGAACTGCTTCTCATATTACTATTAAGACCTGGAAAGTTATTTTGATAGGATTTATATTGATTATAGGTGCTAACTGCTTTTGCATATCCGTTGTTCTGAATAATTTTTTTAGTTTCTTCGTAAGATGAATTCTGCATTGCCATGATTTCTTTTATTTTTTTATTCTTCAGATATACCTCGCATATTTTGCTATCTGCTTGATGGTTTTCATAACATAGGCAGCAAGTTTCCTCGTCATTTTTGCATGCATTTATGTTATGTTCATCTGCACATTTTTTACACCTTTCTTTGCTTCTGCATTGTATTTTTATATGTCCAAATCTCCAACATTTGTGGCACTGTATTAATCTTTGTATATATGGCATAACCCGACAACTTACTGAATGGATAAACACTCTTTCTGGTAACATATTGCCTCTAAATAAAATTTTTACTCTCTGCGAATTAGGTTTCATTGATTCATTATTTTTACTTTTTAAGCATTTAATACTTATAACTTCGCTATCGCACCTAATACAATTAAAAATTTCCTCTTCTTCTAGATCTGGGTCTATATCGAAGATGATTCCGGTTCTTACTAGTTTGTATCTGGGAATGAATGCCTTAATATTAAAAATATCCAGCAGATTTTCTCTGATGACTCTGTTTGCACTCTTATAATTATTAAATGTTATTTTTATCTTGTTTTTGCCAATAGCGCTAATATTTTCTATATCCTTACTAATATTTATTAAATTTCTGTGAAATATTCTTCCCACGGCCATCGGGTGTAGTCTACCGATATTTTTATCTTTGCTTTCAGCATGAATAATGAATGGACCTTCGTCTGTTTCTAAATAGAATTTAATTTCTTTAATATTTTCGCCTACTATTGCTGTATCCTTATCTTTTAACCACATATTATACCAACTTGTTTTGATTCCATTGTTTACATTTGATATTTCACTACTTTGTTCAGAATTTGCGACTGATATTATACCTGTTTTTAATTTTTTATTTACACTTTCCGCACCGACACTTGTTAAATTATCACTATTTGTTTCTTTATTTTCATTATAATTTATATTTTCTTCATTTATTTCACTAATATTTACCGAATTAATAGCACTAATATGGGTAGTGTCATTAACCCAATGTATTTTGTCTCCTTCCATTTTATAATAAGTATTATTTACGCACTGTGACTCACTAACATTATCAATGTCGATATCTATATCAGATATCGGCGATAAGGGTCTGCCGCCGGGGTCCGGCGGCTCGGTATCCATAACTGGTAAACAAACTATTATTCACAATATTTAAATTTGTACCTGTAGACGATCCTTACTCTTCGGCTGCCGATACTCGAATGAAGTGCCCTTATTTTCTGCAATATGTTCAAGTTTAAAGCAATGACTGCAAGTCTGGATTAGTGTAGGATCTGGATCTTTTACTACTTTTTCACTCCCGAATGCAACTCTATAGTGTAAGAACTTCCAAGTTCACTTTTCACTCGATTTTTATTTTCAAGTAACTGTTATTTCAAATTTGTTTTACGTTGCTGCATTTTAGGCATTGACTGAATAAATAAAAGTATAGATAAGTCCTGATTTTTTCAATGAAGTGATATATGTTTCTTTTCCGAACAATTAATCCAATATATAAAAAACAATTAGTTTTTTGAAAATGTTTAATTACGATGTTTCGGAACTAGACACGTTCCATCAAAATAGTCTTTTTACTTGAAATACATAGAAATGTTGCTTGTTTCACATCCATATGTGTGAGTGTGAGATATATGTATATATCCGCACACAATTCTAATTTTAGTGGTAAATTACAGACATTATACAATAGCTATCCTCTGTTGAAATACGGAGATTAAATTAACTTTGCGTACATAGCAGGAATTGATTGATTCTGTTACGTTTCCGGAACAATGTTACATATATTGTAAATATGTCAGTACTATCCCCCATTCTGTATAAAGCCATAGACGCTATAATATGGAATTATTGTTCGCACTTTCAGATTGTTTTATGCAAAAAACATCCCGTAAGGCGAAGTATATATAATAGTTTTTAACACAAAATACTGAAGCAGATTTCAAACTTTCTCCACGTAATTTACCACCTTTCTAAACACATGATAATTTCCTGTAAAAAAAAACTCAATAAACTTTCATTCCGTTTATTTTGATTGTATAAGAATAGGTATTACAAAAATACATAACAATAATTATGTGATATCATACAAAACATAGTAAATAACAAATCAGTATCTAATAATTCTACTTTTTCTAGTTTTGTATACTCTTCGTTATATACCAATTTTCCCTATATACTTTTTTTGTTTAAATTCGGTTGGAAGCATCTTTTGTAATATTGGCACTGGGTTTTCTTTATATACTTCTACATTTTTGGTTTCATCACCATCATTATTACCGCTACGGTGACTGGATGATTTTCTGTATTCTCTGTTTTTATCAGATGATTTGCTGGGCTTACTTTTAATTACTTCATCATCGTCATCACCGTAATGTTTTGTAAATTCGCCGCTACTGGATTTACTGTGATGCTTTCTGGAATATTTTCTGTCCTCGTCGTAAGGGTAATGTTTGGAAGGTTTAAAACTGTCATCGCTTGATCTTCCCCGATTATCAGTTTTTTTCGTAGCTGCTTTTAGAATCATCATCGTCGTCATCATCGGAATGGTGCTTTTTGCTATCATCAACTTCTTCTACTTCCTCGTATTTCTTCTTAGAAGATTTTTTCTCTGGAACAACTTCCTCTTCCTCATCTTCATTATTTTTCTTTCTCAGTACAACTTGTACTGGTTTAGATTTTTTAGGATGTTCCAAATAATGGAATCTTACTGCTGGTACAATTTGCTGAGGATTTTGTTTGAATAATTGTGGGCCGCCATATAGCTGAGGTGCAATTTTGTACTGGCCATTCGGGGCTTGATAGACGTGTATAGGGGCAAGATGTGGACCTTGTTGCACTAACGCTTCTGATTTTGGACCCTGCGCCGTGCCTAAATTTACTAGCATCGCCGCTGGGTATTCACTCGGAGGCGACTGCTCATATTGTTCTTCAACAACTTGCTGTTGTGGTTGGAGGTGCGCTTGATTATTACTTTTTTCTGCACAGCTTGTTTGGCTTTCTAGGGCTATTGGCTTTGTTCCATCGATTTTTTGATAAGTTGGGGCGTGATATTGTTGCAAATTATAATAAGCGAGTGGCTTATATGTGGCTGCCGGTAACTGATATTGATATTTAGGTAATTGTCTGATGGGCTGTTGAGTTACGGGTACAACTATAGATGGCAATTGAGAGGTTTGCTGTGAGTAAATCTAAATAAAAAGATATCAAAAGAAAGTTATAAAATGACAAAATTGATAAAAATTACGTAATATAATTTAGATAAATAATATTATGGCAACTATAGGGAAAGAACCATAAATTATAATGTTCATCAGGCTAATTTTTTATACCTGTGGTTTTTGAACTGGTGCATTTGGTGGCACAAATATTCAAATAATTCGTCCTCAGCTGATACACGGGTGCGACCGGCTGTCTAGCTCTTAGTTCCGGCTCAAGCCTCATTGATCCTAAGCCTGCCGGCTGCTGCTGCGGCGATGCTGCCGCTTGCTGAAGTTGCTTTGAAGCATAGAATGTCGTTTCGTCTTGATAAGGGTCTGGATGATCGTATGTGAGATGATAAAGTTGACGCTTTGCTTTATTCTGTGCTGTGACTAAATCTGCGACGGTGGATGATGTCTGATGTTCCTCTTCGGACGTCGGTGAAGGTACAGTTGTCGTGGAAGCTGCGGCACTCAAATTTGTGCTCATAAGCAGTGATAGAAGTATAACTGGAAACATCATCTAGAAACGAATTATTTAATTTATTCAATTACTTTATTGATCGATCTAAGTAAATAGTAATAAGATATATGATATATTTCTGTCTGAAAGCAGGTTCATGGAGTGATATCACCGTATACCATTGATCCCGTATCTTGGTTATTATTCTAAGCAAATATAAATAATAATAAAAAAGTTAATAAATAAGCAAAATTAAATTAGTACAAATATATAATTGTAATAATACGATGAAATATTTCAGTAATAATAAAAAAAAACTAATTATTAACAATACAACTATAACAATTAAAACTTAAAAAAGTAGTACAAGAGTAAATAAGTAATGTTACAGTTCAAATGCTTATTAATTTACGGTTACTCCTCTAAGCAATTTATACATGCCCATTAGAGTTTGATTTTTTTCTAATATAGTTGCTAATGTTTACTTAGTTTCACAAGCTGCAAAATAATTTAGTTTCATCTTTGTAATACATATTTTTATAAATAATCGCCAAAATAAAAAGATCAACTTTTTATGATTTTAAAATATTTAAGGGACAAATCAGGCTACATATTTCACATTCTGATTCATTCCACAAAAAAACACTTATATATGTAGTTGTTTATACAATAGTTTATAATTTTGCGAAAAATATCGACACTAAACAAAAGTCATCAGTAGTACTGATAATATTTATAATAAATGAAATGGTATGGACAATATTAAGTTTTTGAATTCATACTAGCACATACTATATTTATATCGATCATTATTAACAATACTAATTAATAATTCGCATTATAAGCATTAAATTATCTATTTAACTGGTAATATAAACACTATTTTTATAATTATTTTCCACATGATTTAATATTTGAAGTATTTCACTTTTTGCAATCGATTTGCATTCATTACGGATTACTTTATATTCACTTTTAACTCGATGGAGATTTTTCTCTACATACCTTATTGCAGTTAGTGTTTCGCTTATTGGAATTGAACACAACTGAATGTGCAGATCTGAGCATCCATCGCCTTATATACCTTGACAACTTTCCATTCATAACTTCATAGAGTTACGTGCTTCAATATACCACAAAGAGATATAAAATCAATTGTTTCATTTTTTCCTATTTTTTATCGATATCGATTTTCTGGAGCGTTGTTGTCGTACTATACATTTTCGATTCTGTCAAAGATACTTCCACATATTTACTTACATACATTTACTTTTTGTATCTACTGTTTCTTGAGGCTAAATATTTGGCTAAAATATTTATTTCCTTCCAGGAGGTATGATTCATACTTTTTGAACTGAAATTATAAAACAAGAAGTACGTGAGTAATTTAGTTTTGATCATATAAAATCATGTTCTTACATTTTATACTCATATTACTGAGTGATCAATTAGGTTTTGGATATTGGAAAAGTCATAGAAAAAGAAAATTTTATACATTCTATAGTCTACTTATTATCCCAAAATGAACGAATAAAGAATTATAATCATGGAGTAAAAACAATATTATCAGTATACCGTAAAATTATCATAACAAAATAATGAAATGTCTTTTTTAATGGTTAGCTAAAAAAAATCTTTTCAATACAAGTGATGGCTATGATAATTGTGCTGGTACCGAGTATAATTGCGCACTCTCGATAAAATGGTTCCACAAGATCACCCATGAAACAAATAGAAGTAAAAACCAGATTACGTTAATATGGACAATTTGTGTTAAAATATTTGTTTTTGCTTTGACAAAAAAGATCATTTATAAAATGATCAAAAGATTTATTAAACTTATCACATGGAGGTTTTACATCTTGTCGTGTTAAAGTCACAAGAAACAGAAAAAAAGTGTATTTATTAAAGTATAAATTACAAGTAATAATTATTAAAGTTTGCTAATGTATATTGACCACCATCACTCTTTGCCTGATTGTGAGATTAAAAGTTTTTTATCTTCTTAAATATTTCCACAGAATATTAACATAAGCACAACTACTTGTATCCTGTATCCAAATTTATGAACTTTGAACTACTATCAAAACCACATGTTTAATTCGCACAATGACGAGTAGTCATTCCGCTAATTTATGGCCCTGTCATTTTATAAAATTGAATGAAACAATCTTCGGCTAATCAAAATTTTTAGCTTAAAAAATTGCATATTGCGATTTAAATTGCTAATCCAAATCAATTTACATATAAGAAAATAAAGAAAAACTTTAAATAACAATGGCTAAGAGTTGTGATAATTCAGAAAAAAAAAACTTTGAATCTGCCTGTGAATCATAGCGCTATTAACTTTGTATTATTTAATTGTTAAAAAAATATTATTTTGAATGACCAAAACAGAAAATTTTGATGATTGAAATGACGTCGTATTAATTTATTTTCAGATAAATTTTTATATAATCAGAACCAATTAGACCCGATTACAGCAGCTAGACGACTCCTGTTGTACATAGTAGGGAGGCTGGGTACGGTTGTGCCAGAATACGATAGTAAAAGTCGCCATAGCAGCAAAACTATAGTGATTTTGACATTTGTTTGTTTGTTTTAACATGCTCCCATTATTGCATTTAGTCTGCGCCCTACATTAACATGATCTGTAACCGCATTACTTTTCAAGAGTCAAAAGGAGTCTCTTTGTTCGATTTCTTTTAATGATAACAGGTGCTTGTATTAAGATAGCTTACTTTGATTGTTATTTTGCTTGAACATTAGTAGTAAAGTAATAATCACCAGCAATTATTATTAGCTCATGGGGCGATTCTGCCGCGCAACAGACCAATGTTCTGGCAAGGCCATGTTACGCTCCAACTTCGATACATTATGTTACTGAATCATACTGACACTGTCAAAATGTCATGTATTTGCTGTGCAATCAGGCGTATTGCACATAAACTGCAACGTCACTTGTATGGTATGAAGCTGGGTCAGAAAGACCCTGTCATCTTAGATCGTTTTTTTTTTTATATTTGTGCGATTTCTGGGTTCGGTTTTCGATATGACAACTTTAGAAAAATGACAGACTGCACTACAACCACATGGCTTTTGTCAATATTTATAACGAATTAGTATGGAAAGTTTTTCATAGCAGAGCCTTGCCAGAACATTGGTCTGTTATGCGGCAGAATCGGGCCTTCAATCACAACTATGTGGTCGTGAGTCTTTACCTTTTGGTGAAGATTAAACAGATAAAGAAAAATAAAACTTAAGTAGGAAAATTAGAAGAAAAGTAGAGAGAAATTGAATAAAGAAATAAAGATTGCACAAAGATTTCTGATTCAGTTAAATCTGTATAAAAAATTATGTTTTGTTATATATTGTTATATTATATTCATAAGCTTTGTTTAAATGATTATGTTGTGTTGAGTTACATATTTCTCACAATAAAAGTCGTTATAAACTATTCTGTTTGTTCATCTTTTTGGATGATTTGATTATGTGACTAATGCATCTATTCAAGGACGAAATTTCAGTATTTCCACGTAGAAAAATGTTCAAACTACCATTCG